CGGCCGTACAGCAGACAGACCCCATGGGAAGAATGCAGCAAATCTTTCTGGGACATTGATTTGTTTTTTCTCTGAGAATTGGCAGGAAGTATTTTTATATTCCTAATAAATCAACACTCTTAGGGTTTCCGTTCTTTTAGATGCCACATAAACATTTCCCTTAAATTATACTCCTCATTTAGTATTTTACTCTTTAGAGAAAATCAACTTTTTATCTTCAGTGACAAAGAGTTCCACTGTGCATTAGTCTGTAATTTTTAAAAGCTGAATATTTTGTATTGAAAGGAGTAAGGACCAGAGTGATGGACAAGGTCAGAGAGGCAGCCAGAGGCCCCTGAGTGTGTCTCACAGTAAAATCTTGAAGAACCTCAGTAACTGTCCTGAAATGACATCCACAGAAGGTCACACAGAACATTCAGCAATGAAATGATGCAGCCAAAACCCATGATAATACAGGGCTTTATGGATAGATTCATTTTCTTGGTAAGGCTGGGTTTTAAGGTAATGTGATACAAAATTTCTGACAATTTTCATTTTGAAACTGAACTGTACCAAGTGTCCTGCCATGAATGCGGGAGTTCCTTCAGCAGTTGTGAGTTGAGGCCTATGTTCATTTACTGAGCACCTGCCTTCTGCTTAGGGCCGTCAGGTAACCAGGTGGTGACATCAGTGTCGGTCCCCACAGAACTTGTAGCTTGTTAATGTGAAAAGGCCCACACACAGGTCAGGGTTGTGGGAATCACAGCCCTGAGTGCTGTGCTGGAGCGACATGGAAGTTTCATGGGGAGGTGGGGAGGGGTTATCAGGAAGAGCCGCACTTGAACTCAGTCTTGAAGGATAAGTGTGACTCTGTGAAGCAGAGGAATGAGGGTATTGAGAATTGTGTGGAAAGTTGGGCCAAGCATTTTTCTTTCTGCATTTGTCACACAAGGGTGAGCAAAATCAAGTTCTGCTTTCTAGTAAATATATACTGCGTCAGGTGCCGATGAGTGTTTAGAGAAGGAAATAAAGCAGCACACCTGGTTGCCATTTTAGAAAGAGTGATCAGGGAAGGCCCTCCTGGGGCTGGACCTGAACAGAAGTCCTGAGCCAGTGCAGGAGTGAGACACCTGGCTCCAGAGGGCAGAGCTGCAGGCAGGGGAAGCAGTCAGTGCCAGCACCCTGGGGTAGGAGTGTGCTGGGCGGGTTCCCAGCCAGCCAGGAGGTCTCTGCGGCCGGAGTGGAGCAGGAGGGGGAAGATTTGTGGGACATGCGTCAGAGGAGTGGGCAACACTGGGTTGTGTGACAATGAACATCGTGGTAATAAGGACTTCGGATTTACCCTGAGAGGGGAGCCACCGGAGAGTTTCAGATGGAGGAGTGATATTAATGGACTCTTCAAAACAATTCACCTCTTCCAGCATGGAGGACAGACTGCAGGTGCCAGGAGGGGAGAGGCGGGCTAGTTAGGAGGTCGTCGGCACCTGGGAGCAGTGAGAGGGCGGTGGGAAGGGCCCTGCAGCTGTGCTGGGCACACCTCAGAGCTGGCTCTGGCGGGCTCCGGGAAGCTCTGGGAGGCTCGTCATCATTTGAAGGGGGGCGGGATAAGATCAGCTAAAATTTAGGAAAGATAATCAGCAGCAGAATTTAGGATGAAAGGGGTGAAAGAGAGCCTATATCTCAATCTGTCGTGGTGAGGAATAATTTGCTTTTGTATTTCTAGGAATATCAAGAAAGAGAAAACCGGTTTATTGGAAGACCTCAAAAGACTGAAGCAAGACAAGCAAGCTCTTGACACAGACTTGGGAAAAGTGAAGAGAGAGAGGCCAAGCCAGAGAGCAGGTGCGCGCACCACAGGGAGCACGCCCAGCTGGAATGGGTACTTTATACTCGTGACTGTGCTGAACTTGAGTTTAAGTGATAGCAATTAGATAATATAAGCAAAATGCTATTCCTAGAAGTACACTGTAATTTTAGAAACTTTTAAAAATTAGTTATTAAGAGGTATTTGCATTTGATTGGTTTCAGCAGCAATAACTGCAAGGCTGAAGAAACTCAAATGTTATTTTGAATTCATGGCGTTGTGTGCCCTCCCAGCCAGACCTGGATCTTCCAGGGCCTGGTCACCCTTTTTATCCCTGAGCCTGAAACATAACCTCTCAAGTGTTTGACAAATGAACAGACAACACCGTGCTATGTTTGTAGAAGACACGAGGGTGAATATGGCATTCCTCACTGAGAAAAACAAAGGAGTAAGCTAAAAATGCAGAAAAGTTTAATACTAAAAAAATTAGAAATAAACAGGTAGGTGCTAGTAAGGGTTTCAGGGAGGAGAAGCGTTTGAGCTGGGTCCTGGCAGGTGGAGGGCCTTGGGAGGGGAGGAGGGAGGCCGTGCAGCTGTGTCTCATGGGTGTGTCACTGAGTACACCTGTCCTGGGCCACAGGCGGGCAGGGCATAGGGCCGGAAAGGTCGATCAGAGGAGCCCTTGTTTGCCAAAGGAAGGGTCTTTTCTCTGTGATTGTATGATCTTCAGTGTAAGATATATACAAATAAAATCCAATAACCTATTTGTTAAGAAATGTACTTTCCTCATCTATAAAGTAGAATAATAATCATCGCTCCCATCATGTATTTGTTGTGTTAAATAAAATCATACAAACTGTGAGCATTCCGACTGTGAACACAGCTTTCTTTTACTAACACACTAGACTGGACACAACCTTCCTACATCCTTTTTTTTTTTTTTGCCTCTTATTTTTTCATAATACTTTCGTTAGATAGGCATTGGTTTTCATGTGAAATATTTTAATTTAGTTATTTCCATATTTTGAAAAAATTACATTTGGGTTACCGAGTTGCTTTATCTTATAGGTGAAAAATTATATGAAATAAAAATTTCAGAAGAAACACATAAGAAATGAGTCACCTGCAGAAAAGATTACAGTGGTGTGCTGAAAACCAGGAGCTTCTGGGTAACGATGTAGTTCAGCTTAAGGAAGCAAATGAGGAAACAGAAGCTCAGACCTGAGGTGATAGATAGCTCCAGAATGTGCTCCTGTAGATGAACGCTGTTAGCTTTAACAGTCAGCTCTTAGCCCTGTGTCACTGAACCAGTGCTCTAAATTCTGCTAATTAAAACAGCTGATTTGGTTTGCTTTACTTTGTGTTGTCTGTTTTAGATTAGACTGAGAATACAGTCCACTGTTCTTATCTAAGAGCTCCCTATCCAGCAGATTCAACCAACTGTGGATGGAATATTTGGAAAAAAATGGAAAGTTCCAAAAAGCAACACTTGAATTTGCCACACGCTGGCAACTACTTATGTAGCATTCACGTTGCCCCAGATACCATGAATAATCTAGAGATGATTTAAAGTTTATAGGTGGCTGCACATAAGTTCCATGCAAATCCTCTGCCATTTTATACAAGAGGCGTCAGCATCCGTGGATGCTGGCAACTGGGGGGAGTCCTGGAACCAGTGCCCCATGGTTACCAAGGGATGACTGGAAGTCTAGGCTCCTGATCCCAGCCTGTCAGGTCCCCACGTGGTCTGAATCCTGCCTGTACCACACTCCCCCAGTCACTCTCTTCCAGCCCTGGCAGACTGCTCTCTGATTCTTGAACAGGCCAAGCTCACTGCACTTCATGTCTGGCCCCTAGAAATACCCGTTATTTTCTGAGCATGGCTCTACTTCAATAATATGGAGTGCATTGCCACTAGAGAAGACAGTGTGGAAGTTCCTTAAAAAACTAAAAATGGACTTACCTTATGATTCAGCCTTCCCACTCCCGGGCATATGTCAGGAGGAAACTCTAATTCAAAAATCACATGCACCTCAATGCTCACAGCAGCACTGTTTATAATAGCCAGGACATGGAAACAACCCAAACGTCCATTGACACATGACTGGATAAAGAAGTAGTGGTATATATATACAATGGAATAGTACTTAGCCATTAAAAAGAATAAATACCATTTGCAGCAACATGGACGGATGTGGAGATAGTCATTCTAGGTGAAGTAAGCCAGAAAGAGAGAAAAATGCCATATGATATCACTTATATGTGGAATCTAAAAAAAAAAGACACAAATGAACTTAACTACAAAAGAGAAACAGACCCACAGACATAGAGAAAGAAACTTATGGTTACCAGGGAGAGAAGGGGGTTAGAAGGGATAAATAAGAAATTTTGAAAATTGCCCTTCTTGGGGAGTGATGGAAATGTTAGCTATCTTGATTGTGGTGATGGTTTTCTGGCTGTAGACATCTATCAAATTCATCAAATAGTACATGTGGAATATGTGTAATTTATTGAATGGGAATCATATCACAATAAAGGTGCTTTTAAAAAAAAGATTGGAAAAAAAGATTGGCAACATTGTGTCCTATGTTTTTGTGTGTCTTCAGTGAGTGGGTCTTCAAGTTTCTGGTCTGCCATATTTTCTGAAGCAGAAGTGCCCTCCTTCCCTTTCCTTTGATAAACTGTCAGTGGTGGCATTTATTCCCATGGCTTCAACCACTATCTGTCCACTGATTAACTGTCAAATCACCAGCATGGACATCACATTTCCATCCCAGAAATACGCTTATAATTGACAAGTAGACATTCCCACTTGATTAGCCCATAAAAATCTCAAGCTCCGAATGTTTGAATTTACACTCGCTCAGAACTAGGTTTATTTTTCAACCCGTGGCATCACCATACCATCTATTTTCCATGCCATACATCTGGGAGTTTTCCTTTACTTTCCCACTCCCTCACCCCCGTCAGTGCTACAATTCTATTCCTTAATGTCCCCCAACTAAGTCCCCGCCCCTCGCTCCCCACGGCATTAATTCACACCCCTTGCTAGTCTCCCCAGTGCTGTTCTTTAGAGTGAACAATCCACTTTTCTCACTTTTAATGACTAATCTGTGTCACTCTCCTCCTTAAAACCCCAAAGAATTCCCCCCTGCGTGTGTGAGGAATTCCACGCTCCCTGATTTAACGTCACACCTTCTCATCACCTAGCTGCTGCTTTTTTTCAGCCTTAGCTTCCATTAGTTCCTCACAACCTCTAGCCTCACTGACCTTCCTTCCCTAAGTGCAAAGTGCTCTTAGACACGACCAGTCCTCTGAATGTGACACGCAAGCTGCCGAGAATCCCGTCCCCACCAGGCACTCTCCTGGTCTAGAGATTTGCTGGAATCCTTCAGATGTCAGTGCAGAATGCACTTCCTCTCGGACACCTTCCCTACCTTCTAGAACCCTGCCCCAGGCAGTGCGAGAGCCCCTCTGAACATACAGTATACGTGATGCCAAGTGCCTCTTACCACATTGTTTTGAAAGTATTTAAATTTGTCTCTTCCATGATACAGTATGAACTCCTTGAGGGATGGGGGGCTGTGTGGTGTTTATCTAGACACACCTGGCACAGACCCCGGGCCATCGGAAACAGTCTGCTGACTCATCAAGAAAAATCGTCATTCTTGTGATCTAAGAAAGACTACATGATCTCTGACCTTACACCATCCGGCAACGGTCAAAATAATTTCACCTAGAACTACACAGGCAAAATATTTGTATTATTTTCCTCTTTGTGAACTTGAGATCATAGGCATCCTGGAACGTAGGTGTCACTCTAATCTGTCCGTCCCCTGGGCTGCCACATCCAGCTTCAATGTATTCTGTAGAAGTCATAGGGATACGTGTACATCACCCCCTCTTAGAGCAAATGGTGCTTCAGCCTGACCAAATTTAATGTCCATATAAAAATCAGAAATATTCTGAACTGAAGCCTGAAGACACATTTCCCATCTCTCCTTCCAGTCTGCCATCTGCATCCCACATCCCTACCACTCACCTGCGTCTGACCACTTGCCATCTAGAAACCTCATTCTCTGTGGGACACTCTGATCAGAACTAATTACAGGAGTAATAAGAATGTTCCCATGAATGCAGGCTCTGCACAACAAGGAGCCTTTGATCAGATGCCTCAGTGGTGGCCTGCAGGGTCTGTTCATGTGTTCTGCCTGGCTTCCCTGCAGAAGTACTGCAGAAAATCAAGCCTGAAGTTGAAGTCATAGAAGGCCTAAGAATTGCAGATAAATAAAGAGCCAGATTCATCTCCTTTGGAATATTTCTGAAAACCATCCACTAATGGGAAGAAAAGCTTTAAGAGGTTCGTTTCAGAGCAGATGATGTCCAACTGCAGGTGGGTCAGTGTTGTCATTGTTGCCCATTAGTTGGCTTTCTGCTGCTTCTAACATGGCTCTGTTTAGAGAAGTGGCCTGAGTCGGCCCTCAGAGCAGAAAGGTGAGCTGGGTCTGGTGACAGCCTACCTCCTCTGCTGTGTAGTGACCCGCTGAGAAGGAAGGGATGGCCCAGGGCTTCCTCTGACTCTCTCTCCCTCAATTATGAACTCTCTGAAGGGAAAATGGAATAAAAAATCTTAATTCAATATGTATTGTCAAAGTATAACTAATCGGCTTTGGAGGGGAAGGTATAGTTCAAGGGGTAGAGTCCATGCTGGGTTCAATTCCCAGTACATCAATGTAAAAAAATAATAAGAAAAATTTCTTTTAAAAAAAGGAAAAGAACAAAGAAGAAAAGAGATCTCAAACAACCCAATTTTAAAAAGAAAAACGATTAAAAAAATAATAATCAGCTTGGTCTTTTGCTAGATTAGGAGTTTGGGATTAACAGATACACACTACTATCTATAAAATACATAACCATCAACTCCCAGGTCCTTAATAACCTAATTCCACCTGAATCCTCTCTTTTTTCCTCTAAGCAACCGTTGGAAGCCTCTGTAATTCTCATCTTATGAAAGAATTCATTTAAAGGTGGTTTGAAATTTCCTGGTTAAACCCGTTATTTGTGGTCCTATGAATATAAGTCTAGTAAGAAAGACAGACAATAAACCAGTAAGGAAATAAATATATGATGTACTGCCAGGTACTAATAATTGCCACAAAGAAACATAAAGCATATTAGGAGAGAAAATGATTGAATAGGAAATAATGTGCGTGCTATTTTAAATAATGTGGTCAGAAAAGTCCTCTCTGAGGGTAAAATTGAACAAAGTCCTGAATGAAGCAAAAGAATAAGCCACGTAGATAACAGACAAGAAAAGCCTCCCAGGCCGGGAGAAGTGTAAGTACAAGACTTGGAGTTACAAACAAATCTGTCCTGGTGGGGACCGTCTGGGCGGTGAAGATGGGCTGGAGCAGAACGGTGAGAACTGAGGCTGCAGAGACGGGTGAGGGACCGGATCACAGGGGGCCTCGGTAGGGACTCTGGATATCCTTCTGAATACCATGGAAAATCACGAGAGTAGTTTGCAAAGCGGAACGACTTGATCTGATTCAAACTTTAATAAGACAGTTGTGGGTAACGTATGGGGAATAAACATTGGAAGCAGGGCAAGGTAAGCTGATGGGAAGCCAGTGGGAAGAGTGCTGCTGACCTGGAGAGAGACACCGAGGTTGGGCTGGGATGATGGCGGGAGATGGGCTGAAAGGCGGACACGACTTGACAGTAACGGTCACAGGCCTTAGTGCTCAAGTTGGACACAGAGAGACACAGAGTGGTTCAGGGTGATGGGTATGTGATATTTGGGGCTGAGTCACAGTTTTTCTGCAGGGACCTGATAGGAGAATAAAGTGGGGATGTTGACGTC